CGATGTACTCTGATAGTTGGGCCAGGGAGTGTACATCAAATATTGCCAGGGGTTTATCAGATTGGTTTCCAAATTTAATTTATGCAGTTCCGAAGCCTTGTCTCTGACATGCATGGACCGATCATGTTTACAAATTATCCATCTTTACTACGTGTCACACATATGTCCATTTATTCAATCACAACTGAGGTGGCCGAATATTGTAAAGATACAAGTCATTTCTGCCCTTCTGGAACTGGATCTTAATTGTGCATGAACCAATTTTGTTCAGAAATGGTGTATACAGTGAAATATGATGGCACCTTGATGCACAATATCAACTCCTGTATGCGAAGCACATAATTTGGTTCTTTGTATGTATATATTAGTATTTCTGTTCCACCATTATTTCAAGGACTGCTGGTCAGGAACAAGGTGCAGACCTGATTAGTTTTGAAAAAAAATCTGTGCATATTAATTTTCAGCTTTTCTACTGATATTTCAAGTACAAATCATCACATTCAAATGAAACTTGGTACATAGTTGTCATAAGAAAATGCACAGACCTGGTCAGTTTTTGGCTACCATCTGTTCATATTTATTACCTAATTTGTATAATAATTCATAATTTTTCAGCTTTTCCATTGACATCTCAAATTGTTAACTGAGAATTGAGAACATCTTGTTAGTTTTAGATTAAAATCTGCACATATTATTTGGTAACCTGATTTGTACAATAATTAGTCTGTTTTCAGCTTTCAAGTTTTCAGGTGCTAATCTTATTTCTGAATCAATGAATCTTGGTACATAAATACTCTAAGACAATGCAATGATCTAATTAGTTTTAAATACTTTCATAATAATCACCTAATTTGCATAATAATTTACTTTTCAAGATTTAATTATAGCAGTCTAAGTGTGGTACATATGAGCCCTTATACAATGCACAGACCTAATTTGAATAATAATGAACTAATTTTACAGCTCGTTTAAAAAAAAAATTGGATACTAATAAGACTTGGTATATAAGTGCCCTGGGACATTGCTTGGGATCTGACTAGTTTTGATTGAAATTCAAGCATACTAATTGCCTAATTCTCATAAGATTTATAATCATCACATTTCATTGAAATTTGGTCCATAGCTGCTCTAGGGAAATCTACATTACTATTAGTTTAATGTTGAAAACCATGCTTATTTATTTTGATTATTTAATTATTATTAGCCAACTTCTAATTTCTAAAAAATTTGGATTTAAATTGAACTTGTTGTAGATGTGCTCTGGAATAAATCAGACTGCAAACCACAGATGTAAAATAGAATTAATTTCCTGTGAGTTTTTTAAATTATTACTGTAGATCACATTGTTTTGCATCTTAAATAGCAGACAAATATCAGTTGCAAAGCTTCTAGTTTGAAAATCTAATCTTAAATTTTGATCATAAATTAAGTTTAACAATGTTCCAATACTCTCAGAACACCGAAGTTCTTTCTTTGCTTTTTTTGATTTTGTTGTTTTATTTTAGATTAAAAATGGATGCTTAGTGGCCCCTATCTTTTAACCATTACTGTTCAAGAGCCATAATTGTGACATGCATTGGCCGCAATACAACCAGTACATCTTCACATGTATACTTTTATATCTCTGATTCAAAATGGCTGACTCATTTATTTTGTGTTTACTATTGCACAACTTAATCCGTGTTCTGTCAATGACTTTGTGAAAGTGATTTTTACACTTAGCATAATGTTATAATTTTGAACTTTACTTTGTAGATGGACAACACTAGTAGTACCTCATCAGATGAAAGTGATGTGAAAACAAGTACAGTCACCATCATCAAAGGAAAGAAGAAGAAAAAATCAAAACCTAATGTATTATTTATTGGCAATTTGCCATATAACACAACAAAAGAGGAAATTATGGAACATTTCAAAAAAGCTGGCAAGTATAAAGATGCATATACATGAGAAAATATAATTTATAATAGTGTTGTTTGATACTGTTCTGGTATTTTGATGAATTCTACATGAACTGACTGAGTACTCGTTTGATGAAACCAAATGCTTTTTGACTCCCATGTGCGAAGCACATGATGGGAGTCTTTGCAGTTAGTGTGTCTGTGTATGTGTGTATGTGTGTCTGACTGTTCCACTGCTATCTCAAGAACCATACATCGGTTTTTGATGAAACTTGGTGCATAGCTGCTCTAGGCCAATGCGCAGATTGATTAGGTTTTGGTAAAAATCCATGCTCGTTAATTACCTAATTTGCATGATAATTAGCTAATTTTTAGCTGTATGACTGTTCCACTGATATCTAAAGAACCACTCATTGGATTTTGATGAAACTTGGTACATAGATGCTCTGAACATATGCGCAGATTTGATTAGTTTTTGGTAAAAATCTGTGCATATTAATTACCTAATTTGCATGGTAATTAGCTGATTTTTAGCTGTTCCATGATTGTTCCACTGATATCTAAACAATCACTCATTGGATTTTGATGAAACTTGATACATAGATGCTCTGAACATATGCGCAGATTTGATTAGTTTTTAGTAAAAATCCGTGCATATTAATTACCTAATTTGCATGATAATTAGCTGATTTTTAGCTGTTCCATGATTGTTCCACTGATATCTAAACAACCACTCATTGGATTTTGATGAAACTTTGTACATACATGCTCTGAACT